AGCTAATCCAAAGTCCCCTGGGTTAATGAACATCCCGTGTCTCCCCTGGGAGGGCTACAAGCTCCACAACGCCCTTAAACCTCAGGTCTGACACTGCCCCCGGTACCTACACACATTTCTTCGGCGTAGGCAGCTCGGGTCGCGGTACAGTTGGCAAAATCACGCTCCAGGCTTTGCTGAAATCAGCAGTGGTTTGTTTAGTTTCCTGAGTTAAAAAAAAAAAAATACTTCTTTTGGCCTTATCTGGATTGAAAAGACGATTCAAAAGTTATAAATAGCAGTGGCAGCATATGCTAAGGAGCTGCATTTCAGAAGTAAATATCCTCATCGTTTCACATTTCCCCTCGTCATGTCTCCTGCCTCCTCCTGTCTGGCCAAAAGCATTGCCAGGTGACTTGCAAACCCTGCACCCCTTAAGACCTTCATTCTTCTTTACATCTTCAAGCAGCCAGTAATTAATATCTGCATGACGGCTTTGCCTGCCTAATTATCTTCTTTGCTCAAAATGAGAATCTTCCTAAATAACTTCTGTGGCGTTGCTTGCGGCAGGCGTCACGAGCAGCCGTGCGCCAGGACAGGCCTCAGCTGTAGTTTGGAGAAGTCGTTTTTATGCTGCAGCTTGAGAGCCCATGAGCCTGCTCCTCCCGTGAATAAAGCCGGGCACGCTATAAAATTGGCTGGGTTTGTACATACATAAACAGCCCCGGAGCACTGGCAGGGAGAGTATGGGGCAGCTCTTCCTGAAACGCCAGCTCCCACTGCAACCCCCTGCTCTCGGGCTGCCTCCCCATCCATCCAAAATCCCAGAGCCAAACACATCCAGAGGAGGGAGGAGATTCCAGCGCAGCCCCAGCCTCGCTCCAAAGCCAAACAGCAGCTCAGGGGAACGGAGCATTCCTTCAAGTGCTAGGAACTTGCTTGCACATTACAGAAGAAGGATGGCCGCTTCCTCCGGTGCCGTCCACCAGCGAGAGCAGCCACGGGACCACGTTTCTACCTCTGCGTTGCTTGTGCAGAGATTTCAGAGACCTTTAAAAAGCCCTCAGGTACAAATTCACGGCGGTGCTGTGGAGGGGAAAGCGCAGGCACTCGAGGGGCAGCGGATTTGCGTGGAATCAGGGGAGATGGGAGGCGAGACCCAGCTCCTCGCAGGTGGCACATTGCCACCTAGCTGGCATTTCCTTATTTTTCTTGTGAACCAAGTTCCCCTGGCAGTATCCCTGGAAGCATCCCTGGTGGCTGGGGACCCCAGGGGACAGGCCACTGCTGCTGCCACCCGGGACCAGCCAGGGGAACCAAAGATGAGGTGAGAGCCGGGTGTCCCGAGGCAGTAGGAGCAAATCCCCTGCTTCTCATCACCAAATCCTCACAGGTCCCCCCTGCTCTCAGAAGATGCTCACGCTGAGCCAACGGCACCCTTCTGCAGGGTTTACACCAAACACCCGTTTGCCCACCTCTCCTGCCTCATTCCCTCTCCTCAGCAGCTTTGTGAGGGACAAACCCACTGCATGAGGAGTCCCTGCTCTGTGCAGCTTTGCCTCCAGCCCCGGAGCCTCCCTGCAGAGGTGGGACAGAGAAAGCACAGGGCAGCGACGAGTCCCTCTCCCAGGGTCTCCCAAAGGCCCTGGTACAGCAGAGGATGCTGATCACGACCCTGCAAATCCTCACAGCATCGCTGCTGGCAGGTCTGATGGGAAAGGCTGGCTCCATGTGATTCCCAGCACTCCCAGGGCCAGCCCCAACGTCTCTGCTCATTATCTGCTCTGTCAGCTCCCTGGCCCTGCCTGCTCCCTGCCACTCGCTGCATTCAACAGGCTGCTTACGGCTGCCCCGCAGGGACTGTGTTGTTTTCCTTGGCACCTCCCCAGCTCCCCCGAGCACTGCACTCCCCGGCTCCACGGGGCTGCACTGCGGTGCCCCGCACCACTGGCCTCAGACCCACATGCCCCAGAGCCACCAACTCAAGCCTTCTGCATGACCCGGCCAGTGACCGGTGCCATCTGCCTGTGGCAAATGCCCAGGTCAGTGGGTCCCCTCCCACCCTACCAACTGCACCTTGGCCAAGTCCCTGCCCATCTCTGGAGGGATCCCACCTGCCTCCTGCAGCCCTGGGATTCTTGATTTTCCAAAGCACCAAACACACACACACACACACACACACACACACACACATTCCTGCTCTCTGTGGATGCCAAACCACTGGGTCAGGCTGCCCTGCCTGGATGGGAGCAGACAGTGATGCTTCTCCCAGAGCTGCCCTGCTCTGGGGCTGCCCACATCCCAGGGAGAGGTTGTCTGCAGGAGGGAAGCTCCTGCCAGCTCCGCAGGCACCTCCCAAGATCACTGGTGGGGTCAGGAGCATCACTCGGCAAAGGATTAAGAAATGTGGTGCAGGGAGCCAGCCCAGGTGAGCTGCAGCGGGGCGCAGGCAGGACCTGCCCTGCGCTGCTGCCTGCAGCCCTGCCGGGGGGGCAGCTCTGGTCCAGCCCCTGCCCGATGCCACCCTGCAGAGACTGAGCAGCACGGCCCTGACACCCATCAGCCTGGTGCTGCTGGGAACCCAGAAACACCAGGCTGGAAAAGTCACGCCGGGCAGGAATGAGTGTAGGGGAAACCCAGCCAAATGCTCATTTCCCCAGGCAGGGGCAGCTCTACGCCTCCCACCCGGCCTGCCAGCACCACCGCTTTGGTGCTGGAGGAGGGAAACCCGCAGGCAGGTGGGACAAACGGAAAGGAGCCATCCTCTCCTCCTCCTCCTCCTGATGGATTCTGCCATGGCAAAATCTCTCTCCCTCCAGGGCTGTGCTGGGAGCATCTCTGGGGAGTGGGGCAAGAGGCACCCCTGCCCGACAAGACCTCGACTCGTGGGCACTGCACCCAGGCTCCGACACCACCATGCCCAGAGACCCCGGGTCAACTCCCCGAACCCTGTGTGTCACCGAGGGAGCTGACACCACCTAAACCCCAACACTGTCCTGCTGTACAGGCGGAGACAGGCTCCCCAGGGGAAATTTAGTGCAGGTGACTAATGCAGCAGCCCTGAATCACCTGCCAGGGACATGGGGGAGCTGAAAGACACTCCCCAGCGTAGCCGATGGCTCAAGTCAGGCTGCACAAATCCCCTGCCAGCTCCCTGCCTGGGAAATGGGGCCAGCAAGCCCTCGTCTGGCTTTGCGACTTGGCCGCTCAACATGGAGGAGTGACAGTCTCATCCTGCACGTTTACGCCAACCCGTGCCCTGAGAGCGGCTGAGGCCGTCCTATGCTGTCCCCAGAGATGTGACACCAGCAGCCCCACCTCCCCGCTCTGCTCCTGGCACCACTGTGCCTTTTCCAGCTGAAAACCCACCACATCTGGCAAAACAGCCTCAGCAGTTTGCCTGACACCTGTTACGCTGTAAGAAACACTCTTCCTAACACCAGCCAGGGTGAGACAAACACTCGCCAGCCCCCGGCACCAAGCCGAGCTGCTTCCAGCATCGCTGGTGGGGCTAAACGCAGGACACAGCACCTTGGGCAATTTCCCCACAAGTCACCCAGTGAAAGCATCGCTCTCCAGGGCCCTGAGTGCTTCAGCTCCCACACACACCTCTGCCCCGAAGCCCAGTTGCTCCCATTTCTATTGCTGGGGTGAACAAAGATGATCTAATAATTAGAGCAGCAAATAACCCAAATCCGGTTAAAGTCACTGTTAACTGCCCAGCTGGGATAAACACGGCTTAGCAGAGATGTTCTCCCTGCGAGCACAGCGGCTCTCGCCTCCTCCAAAGAGAGCGTGACCCCAACATGGGGATGGGGATAGAGGGAGTGTCGGTTTGGGCTCACAGCCAGAGCCCCAGCCTCTCCCGGAGCTGTAGCTGGTGGTCAGCAGGCAGAGGGGGGCACGGGGGCTGCCGTGCTGCCTTGCAGCAAGCACAGCCCTTTGGGGAGCCCTCCCTGGGGTCACGCTCCGGGGTCTAGCACAGAGGGGAGCAGCCCAGCGCGCGGCAGCGAGGGAGCGATGCCGAGGCAGGGCTGTGACATTCTGCACAGGGAAAGCCACCGCCTGCCCAGCGCTGGGCCGTAAACAGCTCAGCGCTGGGGGAGCTCAGCCTCCCCCTTCCCCCAGGTCGAGCACGCAGCACCGCTCGGCAGCACTGACTCCCTTCCCCGGCATCTCCTGGCTTCAAACTTTGTGCTCAGCCCCTCACAGGATTTGGCCCCTAAAGGCTGAGCTGAACGGAGACCTTGGGCTTTAACCGACCTCAAGGAAAGCAACACTATCCCAGCCACCGCGGCTGGCAGAGCCAGACAGCAGCTGCTTTGCAGCCTGCCAGCTCCATCGAGCTGGGTGGGAAGGACGTTTTGGGTGGGGAGGGGTTAAACCTCACCGCAAACACCTGCATCTACCAGAACCAAAGCCTTTTCTGTTCAAAAGCCACCCCCACCCATCTCATGCAGCGCTCTGTCTGCAGCTGGAGGGTGAGGAATGACACGCCGGAGTTTGCCAAGGGAGAGGGCAGAGATTTCCCGGGCGGATATCATTCTGAGCAAATCTCCCCAATCTGGAGCCGGGCGGTGCTGGAGCGTATTGCCAGCTAATCAGCAGGGTGGCTGGAGCAGGCTGCACCACCGAGATGGATTAACCCAAGGGTCTGAGCCCAGCTGGCAGCCTTCGGCAGCAAGGAGGCGAGCAGGGACGAGGCAGAGAAGTGCATCAACCACAACGGCAAAGCACAGCAACTGGTGGCTCTTGAGAGACTTCCCTAGTTTGGGTTCAGCGGCCAACCTGGCTGCAGCAGGGACACTCCCGGGGCCTCCCTCCACCCAGGGACAGCGCTGTGACAGCCGCCTCGACCACAGCAGAGGGTTGTCACTGCTGCCACACAACCCCAGGGATGAACAGTGTGGCTGGCAGCCGGGAAGGGCGCCCAAGCTCAGGGACCAAGATGGGGGACCAGTCCTTAGACCCACCCTTGCCCTCAGCACCCAGCAAACTCCTGTGGAAACTTAGGAACTCACTGCAGTCGTCGGACTCATAGCCCTCGGGGTCCACCACCTCCTCGGGTGCTTGGTACTTGGGCGGCTGCTCGGCGGGTGTCGTGCCATACGCCCCGAAAAGCTGGTCCACGTCCTCGTCGTCCTCGCGGGGGGCCTCGGCGGGGCTGACGGAGGGCTGGCTGACGGCGGAGCGCAGGGTGCCGCTGCGGCCGACGGCGGCGGGGAGCCCACGGGGGAAGCGGGGGAAGTAGTCGGAGATCTGCTTGATGGGTTTGATGGGGCCGGGGCAGACGTCAATAGCCATGTGCTCCTGGATACTTATGGTCATTTTCTCTCCTTTTCGGAGTGTCATGCATGCGGCTGTCCGTGCCAAGCCCCCCCGGAGAAGCCCGGACCGTGCGTGAGGGAGCCGTGAAGTTTCTGCCAGGGGAGGTAGAGGCGGGTGAGGGGGGAGGCTCTGGCGGGCACCTTACGTGGTTCTCGCGCCCTGAGCCTCAGATGCCGCACGCATGCTGCTGCGGCCAGCTCTGGCTCTTGCACAGCCCCTGATCCTGCCAGCGCTGCCTGTGAATAAATGAGCGAGACGGAGAGACGGATAAGAGGCAGGGGGTGGGCTCTCGGGTGATGTCACCAGCTAGCAACAAAGCGGTACCCAGCAGCGGAGGAATGAGGGCTGTGGCTGGCCCGCCGCCCCGGCCACACGGCCCCCAGCGTGGGCAGCCGGCCCCCTGCCCCTTCCCCAGCACAGCCCCGCCATGCCCAGCGGGAGCAAAGCAGAAGTTGGGTCGAAGCCCAGCTCCCCACACCCCTTCACCCCATCTCCCTGCCGAAGCGGTGTCGGTCCCCAGCAGACCCCCCTGGAGGGGGGGAAGGTCACAGCGCGGGGTCAGGAGCCGCTGGCCTGTTGCGTCGCATCCTCGGGGCGCCGCGGTGAGGGAAGTGGGGCTGCCCCAGCCCCCGGGGACCACGGCAGCCCCCCAGTGCCCTCGCAGCCCGCTGCGGGGCCATGCCAGGGAGGTGCTCTGCCGCATACTGAGCAGAGGCACGGGTGGCATGTGCCTGCTCCCAGCTCCAGCCACACCACCGCTCGCAGGGGCACAGATTTGGCACCTCGCTGCCATCGTTGGCCCCAGCCTGCAGCAAACGTCCCCTCCGGAGCTCAGCACCAGCCGGACGAGCTGCCTGCAGCCTCTGGGGCTGGGAAAGCACCAGGGACTGAAGCAACACATGGCATTTGCTCGCGGCTCAGCCGGCACTGCCTCTCCCCGCCAGCCTGTGGCTGCTGGCAGAGAGCGATGCAGCAGGTAAAGCATCGCAGAGGAGCGAGCGATGGGCTGGGCCGAGGCTCGCAGCCAAGCGTGGCCACGCTCAGCACTCCTCTGGCAACCTTTCCGGGCAGGGACAGGGCCCCGTCACCAGCCTGAAAGGGATCAGGCTCCCTGCAGCCTGCCACAGGCTCCCTGGTAAAGGCTGAGCTGTGGTTTGCTCAGGGAGTTGGTCTCAAATTGGTGTTTTTACCTAATCTCTTCCCACGTTCAAACTGATAAATCTGTGGTCCCACAATCTAACGGCAGTGGACTTTTGAGCAAGGAGTGCCCGAAGAGAAATGGTGTGAGAACATGGCACAAAATGCTGCACCGAAACTCATCCTGCCCAGGAAAATGTGTCTGAAATATTTTCTAGGGGTAACCCCCCGCCCCGGTGCAGACTTTCTGCTCGCTCCGGCGCGGTGGGTCTGGCACAGAGCTGGGACACAGTGTGTGTGCTGGGCACCCACCGCCGTAGCAAGCCAACAACAGCCAGTACCGCCAGGTAACCTGACAACACACAGATCCCATATCAGTGCACAGAACTGCAGTCTCCTGCAGGCTGGCATGCAGATGTCTATTAAAAATAAAGCTCCAATCTTTGGAGAATTTTCCCCAAAACCCAGCAAAATGACACCCAACCTTTCTGTCTAATGAAGAATTCAGTTTTCATTCAGATTTTGGTAAATGTTAATGAACGCCCCTGACTCATAATATACTGACATGAGGCAAACTAACCTAATTTACTTCTCGCCGGGAAGCAGACATTACTCTCCTGAAGCATCCAAACTTGTCATTGCTCTGTACCTAGACACGATGCACACGGATGCTCTAATGACCTGGGAGAACAGGAGACCGCTCAGCTGCTCCTTCCTCTCTCTGCCATAATTTTGCTTTGAGGCAGCTCCTGCCTATTGCACAGAGGTGATCTGTGCTGCTCTGCCAGGAGACAAACTGCTCTCTTGCAGCAAAGTCCAGCAGCAGATCCAGCCTGAGACTGTTGAAGCCTTCTTCCCACACCCAAGGACTCCTAGTATATTAATTCAGATGAAAACACCACCTGATTCACGCTCGTGTAGCCGAGGCTGAAAACCTCGCAGGTGGCAAGACGATGGGTGGGAACGTTGTGGGAGGCACAAAGAGCTGCCTCCAGGTTTGGAGCAGCCTGGATGTGCTCATCCGCACAGGCTCCATCTTTGGGTGCAGCATCCAGAATGCGGTGTGGACTCAGACAGAACGAAGCAAAAATTGGGCCTGATGCCCAGAAAATAGCAGCAATTCCCTCTAAGAAAGGGCAAATAAATAAATAAATAAAATCAAGTTATGGATGAGAACCTAATGTCATTATTACCATTACAAAAGCATCATTGTTTCAAACATTTCCTCAAAGACCCAAATGGACAAGGATTGTTTTATAGGTCAGAAAAATCAAGGCTCCGGGAATTAAGGTGAGCCCCCTGAGCTCTGCCTCCTCCTGTGCCACGCAGCACCCCAAAAGCTGCCCCGCAGCACTGACAGCCCACAGCAGCACTGATGGGAGATGCTGAGCTCGCCCAGGGGTACAGAGAGCAACCGATGACACGGGGACCAGGTTAAGGGAAAAGCAAAGACAGAGCTGAAGCAGGCAAACCTCCCTGTCGTCAGGGCAGGACTGGCCCCCAAGGGAGAGCCTGTCCCCAAACCTTATAGATGGAAACAAACAAAAACAAGTCTTGCTGCTAATAGCCCAGATGGGACTTTCTATTCTCTGAGCGAACCCAAGACTACTGAAAGCAGCTGGAGCCCTTCCCTAGCTTTTAATGAGTCCCAGAGCAGCTTGGTTTTGATAAACCACACTTCTACCATCTCACACTGCCTGAATGTTTCCTCCTAGGCTGCACAGTCCAGTATTTACTGAGGGCTCCCCAAACGTGGCTGGGGCTGGCTGCACAACCAGGCACCAAGCACTGGCAAACATGATGCACAACAACACGGAAGGTAAAAGGGACAAAAATAGAGAGGTGGGCTGGAAGACAAAAGCAGGGCTTGGAGATACAAAACCAGTTTCCAGGTAAAGCTTTTAATTCCCACCGTCTGTCTAATGCCCTGGAATGTGACTTGGTTTGATCCCTCGCTCTGCTGGGGTTATTCTGAGCTACCGCAGTGCCCACGCATGTGGCCTTCATCTTCCTGAAGGGGGAATGCTGGCTTCCTCACCAGCCCTGCAAGAGGGAAGACAGACAATTTCAACATCATGTTGCTGATTTCAGCAGCGGGACCAACAGCTCTGCCTGGCAGGGAGCAGATCCACACTGCAGGGGGATACCCTATCCCTGAGGGAAGGGAGGACATCCTTCAGAGAAGGTGAAGGTGGCCATCACAGAGTCAACATCAAAGCAGGAATGAATGGGATGATGGAGAAGAGCACATTGCCCCCATCAACAGCTGCATTTCCTCCCAGCGGCGGTGGAAGTTGTGACAAGATCCTGAGCTCAGCACACACGACATCGCACTTCAGCGGCTTGTTCTGAGGCGCAACAGATTGCTCACATCTGATGAGGGCACGGGTTGGTGTGCCAAAAACATCCCATAATGTGAGCTAGGATGTGGGATGCAGAAGCCATCATTCCAACTCCAGCCCGGCTCAGAAAAGGATCCTGTCCCAGAACAGCTTAGACTTCAAATGTTGTCCCGAACAAGGGGCATAAGCAGAGATTTAGGCACATCCCAAAGCCTGTGCCACTAACTCACCCCGTGCCTTGAGCAGAGCCCTGCAGCAGCCCAGCTTCCTTAAGTGACCGGGGAGACATCCGTGCAAACAGAACAAGTATTCCTACAGCAAACAAAACAGTAGCACGTAGATTAAACACACATCCAAAAATACAGGCTGTCCTCAGGACACACTTCCACCAAATTTGTTTCAAACGCTAAGCATCAAATTCTGCTGTCAGTTACTCCATATTTAAATTGACAAGAGTGAGGGTTGATTCCAGTTTAATCAATTTCTTTCCAAGTGAAAAGTACAGCAGCAAGCAGGACTGCACATTCCCATTGCTCACCAGAGATTCGATGACTGACCCACTGGTTCTTTATGCAATATTTTTCAGCTCAAACCCAAACCATCTCACAGAAACCCTCTGCTCTGCCAGTGCTGCTGAAGAAGACACGAGCCTGAAGAGTACATGAAGAGCTGATGCCAAATTAAAGCCTCTGGTTGGAGAAACTACCTCTGGATCTCACATAGCCTTGAACTCAGGGGGACCCACTGCAGGTTGGGAGCAGGGAGGTCTGACACTCACCCAGAGGGATGACACACACCAGCACCAGCCTGCACAGCCCTACCTTTCTTTTTGCTTTTTCCCAGCCATTCTGAAACCTGTGTTAAGCCACAACGAACACCCACAGCCTTAGGCACGGGAGGGTGCCAGCAGGTAACACCAGCTCAACCTGGCCGCAGGGGCAGGAACAGAGGATACCCACACTGCCATCCCAGCTCTGCCAGCTGCTGGAAGAGACCCCTCCATCCCTTCAGCGTGACTCAGGACCCACATTGTCTTCAGTCCGCTTGGTTGGTAAATATGAAACGTATTTCTTCCTTCTTCAAATAAGCTTAGCTCCAGCATGGCTGTGTGCAAGGGAAGGGGGTTAACTGAAAAGCAACATGTGCCGTGCTCCTTGGCTCATGCAAGGCGCTGGCTGCTGCACAGTGACCAGCTTCCCCTGGCAGATCTCTGCCCTTGATTGCTGGGGAGGCTTGGCTGAGCCCATCGAACGTGTTGTGGACCTTACCTGGTTAAACACCCTTTGCATTTACTAAATAAAGCAATAATAATAACGATAACTAGGAAACTTGGCTAAATAATCCTAAGAGGCTTACTCCAGGCTGTGCTGATTAAGGCTCCCCAGCAGCACCAACATCCCAGTGCATGCTGGCTCCCACTGCTCCTCCGTGCAAATAATATCTGAGGTTATCTCTGCTCAAACAGGCCCTGCTAACAACCATCATTTGACCAGATTTAACCAGCAATTACTAGCTGCGAACAAAATCACTGTGGTAAAATACAGCCCACACTCTATTACAAAGCAGACACAAACAAACCATTTCAGAAAGCCAGGCAGAGGGCAAATACCAGCAAGAAAGGGTCCTCTCCCCTCAAAATATTGCTTAAGGTTCCCAGAGACCTTATGAAACACCCAACTAGTGGCAAGGGTGAACGGCGTCTTCCTCACCAGCACTTTGCTACCCGCAGATGGACCTGCAAGGGAGCTTCCCAGAGGACAGGAGGAGGTAGGGAGGCATCTGGTCTCTGTGCATCTTCAGCGCCAGTCAGGATGGGCCCAGAATAGCTAAACTTTCTGTAGGGACTGATGTGTAGCATATGTTGCCATTTCGATGTGAATCCCAGAATAGTTGGTGTTTTGTTTTGTAATTTTAATGCACTGGTTTTTGGAGTGAGATGCCTACCCCTCCTGTTCGGGAAGGGAACGTGCTGCACATGTACACCCCGACATACAGTTTCCAACATGCTATTCACCTGCAAATCAACCAGAGTAGATAATCAGTTGCTGTAAATATTAACGGTATGGACAACACACTAAATACACACGAATTCACTAGGGTGGATCTGTGCGCGGTGAGAAGGGGAAGCAGGAGGAAAATCCAACCGAATGGTGCGCAAGGGGAGGGTGCTCTCCCCCGGAGCGTTACTGGCCTGCACGTCTCTCTCAACACGGAGGCTGAAGCCAGTGGGGCCGGGGAGCAGGCGGGCAGCCTGCAGGCAGGGCAGCTGCCACCGAGGCTCCGGGCAGCTCTGCACTGTGAAGCATGGCCCATGCACCCACTGCTCCCCAAACGCAGGGCAAGAGCAGAGGGACCCCCATCCCACACACCCATCCGACCTGCACAGTCAAACCTGCGGCCCCAGGGCTGGTCTAGCGGCTTTTGGAAGTCTCCCAGCAGCCGAGAGGGGAGGCATCATGGGTGGTCTGTGCTGGCAGGTGGCAGCACCCTGCCACTCTGCTGGGTGAGAAACAGGGGGTGATTCAGGTTCAGCCCTCAACAGAAACCTGAGCCACGCTCCCCACTCTGATATAGCCCCTGCATTGCGCTGTCTTGCAGCCAGCACCTACCAGAGAAAGAAAAATTTGCAGGAGAGAGGGGCCAGGGCAGCCCTGGGCAAAGCAGCACCCCAAGCTGCCCCAAAACACCCTCCTCTGTGAACCCTTCCCCTGCCTGCCTGCATCCTGCTTCACCCTCGCTGGCATCCCATCTTGGGACACAGCACAGTCCTGGGCCCACTCTTCAGGGATATTTTCTCAGGAATGAGCCTTTTTTGATTTTTTTTCCTCTTATTTCCTTTATGGTTCTTGGGTTCCCTCTAAATCCAGAGCCTTAGCAGGGGTCTGTCATCACAAGGCCAAGTAAAATCACCTTTTCACATCACGCTGGCTCTTTTCATTATGCGCCTGTAAGTTAAACGCAGTCCCAATCCCTTGCATTCAAGGGAGGGGAGAGTTCTGCATAGCATCAACTCTTATTAGGCTAATTTTATCTGCTCTCAATGCCTTTCCAAGCTGGAGTCAATGTCCTCTGAGATTACCCAGCTGACTTGTCTCAGTAGTTTTACCCTGCTTTTACCTCTTCCCTTCCCAACTGCCTCCCAGCTGCAGGAGGATGACAACATCGTTTCTCAAGACTTCCCAGGCAGCCAGGGGCAAAGCCCGATGTTTACTCTGCAGCAGCACCTCACCCTATGCGGGCTGGGCAAGCAGCGAGCGTTGGCCCCGGGAGCTGCGCTCAGGCTGGGCACCGCTGCCTCCTGCACACCCAGCTCTTCAGACTCCAGAGACGTCCAGAAACAGAGTTAACACCAGCATTTAGGGCCTGGCCCTGTTGCCATGGAAATTGATAAGACTTTCTGCTCACATTTTGGTGGGAGGAGGCATTTCAGGAGTCACCACTACCTTCCAGAGTTAACACACGCGAAGCCAAGAAAGGGCAGAAAGCAGCCGAGCTTGGCGGAGGCAAGGAGAGGACTGCTCCCACCCCACGCTCTGAGAATTTGGAGCTGGATGCAAGCAGAGGGAAAAGGCCACTGATAACTGGCAGCATCAAGATGCTGCACAGTGAGCTCCGGGGATTCATGAAATAACATCTTGGTTTTGCAGAATTAAAGAGCAATTTGGCTGCATTAAGAGAGCATTATAGCTGCTCCTCTCCCACATACACATCAGGCTAACGACATCCTGTCAAAAGCAATCCAACCAAAGCCCCCGGACGGTGCTGATACTTAGTGCAGTAAATGTACCTGTCACAGCCCTGCAATGGCTGGCGGAGCTCTGTCCTGGCTGCTGCTCCTCCCAGCTGCCGCCGGCGCAGCGGGGAGTTGTCCTGCCTGTCCCCGGATCATGAAGCTCAACCAGACTCGGTGAGCTGCGAGGCCATCGGTTGCCGGGGCCGCCAGGGTGTTTTCCTGGCCCCATCCGCAAACCCGGGTATCACGCCAACCCTGCAGAAAGTAACACAAATGAAAGAGCAAAACAAAAGAGACGTGCAAGGAGAAGGGCAAATCTGTCTCTACTATGGGGTCAGGCTGCTGGAGGGGGCAAACAGCTCCAGCCTCCCTGAACCAGGCACTCTGCACCACAGAGACAAACCTGTTCTTTTGAAGGCTGCAAAAAAACCCCGTGGAGGCACCTGCAGGAGGTACCTGAGGGAGCAATCCTGCCGGCTGGGGAGGCAGCGGGGTGATGCGCTGAGCCCTTCCCCGGGGCAGCAGCGCTGAGCTCTGCGTGGCTGCCAGCCGGCACGAAGCCGCAGGAGCAGCCGGCGACGACGAAGCCCCGCAGTGCCCCGGCAAGCGGCTACACCGGCACCTGCGGGTTAGCAGCAAAGAAATTGAGGCCACAGCCGAGACAAGCAGACTCCTGCCCGGAGAGCAGCTTTACCAGCAGCGTTGAGGAAGGCAAGCCAGCCTGCAGGATCCCTCTCCTCTCAGACCTACGGGCAGTTTAGCCATCTGACCTTATGTCACCCGACCCAAAGCGATGCAGGACAAATTTTTTTATTCCATTGTGGGGAAGCCCAAGCATTTTCCTGCTCTGTAGTGAACCAGGGAAAACGAAACTGCAGAAGAAGGGATAAACCACCAGCCAAAAAAAGGAGAGATGGAAGGAGAGGTGGACAGGTATATGGTTTAAAATACAAACATTAAAATTATACCCATCCCAGAGGGGCACTTCCCAGGTCATTAAACAGCCAGAGGAGTCACTAGATGGCCCTGCTAGTCCTGTTCATCTGATCACAGCAATGGATATGAAGAAATCCTCCTTTAGCTACTCTGCAGGCTTTTGAGGACCGTGAAATCTGCTCCAAGTCAGCTTCTGGGTGGAAGGGCATCCCGAGGAGAGCGTGGCAGCCGGGTGGCACCTTGGCCAGGCATGTGGAGGGGACTTCCCAAGACATGTGGCACCTCTGGGCCTCGCTGGGGAGATGAACAGTCCTTCCCAGTCCCACCATGACCTGGGTGTCCCCTTTCCTCTCCGAGACGGGCTCCACTTGCCAGAGACAGTGCAAATCTCTGCCTCAGCGTAATCATGTTGACAGTGATGGGTGTAAGAGTCAGGGAACCATATTAATGAACATCGTGTTGCTGGATAATCATGACATTAGCATTATTGGATTAGAACATTTGCATAATTTGGGCACGAGCGGATACCTGCACCGAGACATATGTTTACATGAATTTACATCCATTTGCATCCCAATGAAGCTCGTCCAACTGCATCCTCAGCAGCTTTCTGGGTGACCAGTCAGGGCCATTGGCAGCTCAACCCCAGGGACCACCTCCTGCTGTCAGGCACAATCCCAGGCCACTCAGATGCCAACAAACCAGCAACACTTTTTTCCTCAGGGTCTTACACAGGTTACACCTCAGCTGGGATAGTCGAGTCCCTTGCAGGGGTCACGAGCAACACACCCCCAGCCTCAGTGTCAGGGTCACCCAGGTTAAAGGGTCCCCTTCCCAGTCCCCATGGACTCTTTCGGGCTCTTGAGAGCCCAGTTTCTGGGTTCCAGGATAACGAGCAGTTAAGTCCATCCTATTCACAGCTGTGAAAAGAGCTCAATAACAGTCCCAGCAGGCTGCAAAGCTTGGAATTTAAGAGGCCAACAAAGAGAACTCAAAATGAACTCTTTTCTCTTTTTTAAAAAACCCACATGACCTTTGATTCAATTACTTGATTTTCCAGGAAGGGGGAGAGAGATTCAATTACTTGATTCCTGATTTCTTAACACAAAAATACAGACCTTGCAACCGTGGGCTACAGAAAGGTAAAAAAACCCTTCAAAGATGCATTACAACAATTTGGTGGCAACATCAGATTTACACGGCTGTAAGAAATAAGCAGTTTCCCCTCCTGGCCTCCTCAGCAGAACCTGCTCCAGCATTTGAAGTAGTGCAGTAATATCTGAGCGTAGAGTCCTGCTGCCCACCCCCAACATTACAGGGCGAGAGGCGTTCAGCAGGCAGCGGAGGAACTGCCCGACTACGTGCCCCTGAGTGCTTTTCTA